CTGTTTCCAGATTTACACATTGTGAAAACATAATACTCTTTGCCGCCTTCTCGGGAGAGGATCCTGCAACTGGAAGCATGAATCATTTTTATTTTATTGTATTACAACATTATCATTCCTCAGACTTTACCTTTTTTTTCCCCTAATGAAAGGGAAATTTAGCCAAGTGGGATAATAATTCCAATGGGCTGCATAAATTGTCCCTGATCATGCCAATTCTGTTTTCTTTATTTCGTGTATCATATTATATGCCCCATCAGATGTGTTATCGATGTCCTAAGTGTTTTAAGCAGCGACATACTGTGTTTTATTGGTGGTCTGATGAACAGAATTTCTCAGCATTGCAAGGAATTGGGATTTACTAACAAGTGCTTGAAATCTAAAAGCATCTGATCTGACATTAATGGAACACTGACCTCAAGTTGGTGCAGCTGCTCTGCAGTGCCCTGTCCCAACACCTTAATAAGATTTTTATTAGAGCAGTAAATTTTAAGCAGCTGCACCAAATTCCACAATCCTCACTTGTAGGAGTGCCATTTTCTGATGAGATAGGAATCTGAAGCCCACAAGACTAATGCTTTATGAGTCCAAAGTACAGCCTGTATCTTTTCTTTTTTAAAATGTGGGTAGTTTGTTGCCTAAAGACTTCTGTACTTTGGACAGCTTCAGAAGTGGCTCCAGTCCTTCCTGGAACTTGCACAAAGAAAGCGACCTCAAATGAGCATGTTCTGAATTTGATCTCTAAGGGCAAGGCCCTGAGCAGGGTAGAGAGTTCACCTGCTGCTGCTGCATTCCTCAAACTAGAACTCATCGGGCAAGGAAATGCCCAAGTTGCTGGCTGTTCTTGCCTTTCTGCAGAACAGAATCCAAGACTGCAAGTCATAACTGATGAAATATCAGAGGAAGATGGGCTCTGCCAAGGAGCAAACTACTCTGGCCCTTCTTCCAGTTGCCTGTGTTTATCCAGCCCCTCCTAACAGCATGGTGTTTCATGAATCTGTATGAGTGTCTCCTGTTCTTTCCTTGCCCTAAAGTTCTGAAGTGGCCAGTTTACTTCCCAAAACGTGTACAAGCAGGAAAATAGACACCAATACATTCTTCACATATGACAGTTGTATATGGTTTGTACGCCATTTCCAATACAAAAAAAAACCCTGCATGAAGCTATCCTCTAAAGAACCTGCCCACTCCCTGTGAGAGATGGACCAGAGTGCACTGGCAGAGCAAATGTTGTGTTCAGAATCTCTCAGATTTGATCCTTGGCATCTCCCGTCAATAGGATCAAACAGCAGGAGAGGGGAAAGTCCTCTGTCTAGGACGCTGGAGAGCTACTGCCAGGAATTTGGGCTTCCACTCCCATCAGCCCTGGCCATTGACCGTGCTGGATGGGGCTGATGGGATTTGTAGTTCAAAACATCTGGAGGCACCAAGTTGGGGACGCTAGAGTAGATTATGCTGAGCTAGACAGACAAGTATTCTGAGCTAGTATAAGGCAGCTTCCTATATCTGAGTCCTAGGAGGCACCGATGGCAGTAGCCGGAAAGGCTGAACCAAGGAGTGTTTTCCTAGAGCATGGGTCTTGGAAACCTAAAATGCTAACGTGAAAGCCTTATGTCTCATTGTCCAACTGGCAAGCAAAACGGGCATTGAATTAGAAACAGTTGCAGAACACAGGTTTATGTCTGCCATCATGGGAAGGAACATATTATTGGAAAAGGAGCCAGTCCTATGATGCTGTCTGGCTGTAACTTGGGTCCATTCTTCTGTGAAGCTTGCTTTAGTGATGTATTAATATCATCTGTTTGAAATGAATTTTGAATTGTGCTGCATGGTTCCATCTGGCTTCAGCCACTCCTTAACATCATTCTGCAACAACAAAAAAGCCGGGCACAGGAATGCCAAACAGACACTTCACCACTGAAGTCCACTCCAAGATTCCAGTGCCTGGGGATAAGGCCCCAGTGCCAACTTTATTCTGAACCCTAAAGGTGCACCAGCCTCAGCCTTCAACTGCAGAAAGATGAGGTCCAGGCCACAAGAAGTTCCATTCAGTCTACCAGATAGCATCTCAAGCTCTGCAAAACCTGTTCCTGCCTTCAGCAGATGGGGGATAATGGCCTCTGGGCTCTTTCAAAGAAAAATAGCAACCTAAACAAGAAGAATATAATCACAGAGCTAGACGGGACCACAAAGTGCATCCAATCCAACCCCCTGCCAATGCAGCAAATCTACTGCTTACACAGCATGCATGTCAGATGTTTTTAAGCAGAGGACAGATGGCCACCTAACAAAGAAGAGCCCACCACTTTCGGGGACAGTTTATTCTAACACAGCTTGTACCACCAGAGAATTTTTGGTCATCTTTCTTGTCATTTGAACCCATTGGTTGCCCTCAGGAGCAACTGAGAACAAATCTTTTCCAATATGGCAGCCCTCTAGATATTTGGAGGTGAGTGACATATTTCCTCTTAATTGTCTTTTCTCCAAACTGAAGATCCAACTCCTTCAGCCTTTCCAGTCAGTATTTTGCAGGAGAGATTCAAGCACTTTGTGCCCCAGTACAACACTTTTAAAAAAATGAGCTTTCACCAGTTAGGAAGGTGACAGGGAAATACACTGAAAAGTGCGGAATGAATGATCAATGGGAAGACATATAAATACCCTGCAAGCAAATCAGATGAATGCCAACTAAATGCTTCTTGCCCTGCAAACAAATCAGAATGAATGCTCAATATTCACAAAAAGTGGTTTTGTTTTATAATATATGTGGCTAACAAAGATCATGATTGAAATACCTCCCCTACCCAATCTATGTTCTCTATGGAAGGATATGTTGTGATAATTTGTAATCATTTTATTGTACTGGAAGCCCAAACTATATTTTACAACCTGGTTACTATTTTAAATTGTGTGATGCAACACTTAGAGATGTATAAATCTCATTATTTTCTGATCAAGGCAATGTACCTTTTTTGGAAATACCTGTATTACTTTACTAGTCAATCACTAATGTTTGTACATTCTTTTCATTTAAATTTATATATTGTATACAATTTAATGTATGTTATTTCTTCTTATATATCACAAAAAATAAAAAATAAAAATTTTAAGTAAAAGAATGAATACTCAACATATATTACCTAGCATCCGTGTAAGTTTTGTACAAGCAAATAAGGATAAATGCTCAAACAGTTCCTCAGGAGTTCTTAATACCACATATCATGTCTCTGAGCAAGATGAAAAGTTCCTTTAGGTAGTACTCATGACATCGTTAAAGGTCATTGGATGTTTGCAGAAATGTTTAAACAAACAAATCCATGCCCAAACAGAAACCTTATGTATAAGCAGTGAGAATGAAATACCCGCAAAGCATAGAAGCCAACACTATCCACTTATTTAATTTTATGGGGGGAAACTGAAGTGGGACGTTTCTCAGCTTTCATTCTCTCCAACAACTGTAGCTTAGTCAGTCAAGACAGAATGGTTTGTCCTCCCATTCATTGGGTTAGCAATCTAAACAACATTTGGATGGTGAACATTTGAGAGAATTGCCAGTTTCTTGATTTGATGGGTGTCTCTAAAACTGCAATCCTATACAACTTTACCAGGGAGAAAGTTTGATTCAATGGCACTTACTCTCAGTAGACATGTATAGGATTGCACCATGAGGGAATTTTGCCAAACTGGGAGGAGGATCCTAATTTGGATGCTGAACTCACAATAGGTACTGAATGAAATGTAAATAGCTATTCTTTAAAAAGATAGAATAGAGAGATCCACAGCTAGGGCACAGTATTAGACATGGAATGTAGCACAGCCTCTAAACTTGCTCAGGGTTTTAGTTACAGTTGCTGCAGATTTTCACCTAAAGGGATACATCACAACCAAGTGAGGAGTCTTATGAGAAAAGCTAAAAGTATTTGCAAATGTTTGCAAATATGATTGAATGTCAAATATCTGCTGAATATTCTGCATGTATATGAATGTCCACAGAACATCTGGTGAATATTTGACATCTAGTTTCACAGGGTAGGTTTGTAAAGAGCCAGCCTTCAAGAGTCTCCTCCAATGCCTCTTATCTGAACACAGCTCAAGTGCCCTCTAGTGGGATTTATCTAAGCATCATTTGCTCATCTTTTTAGAGAGGCAATTGAAATGAGTTTGTGCATTTCTGGAAAATGAGCTAGGCAAATAAAATTAATGTGCCCCAAACCCTCCACAAGAGGATTTCAGAGGAGAGAAAGCACTTGGCAAACCGATCAAACTGTTTACTCTCTGTCCAAGGACCTTACAGCTTAAACATACCTATATTATATAGTTTAGGACAAGGGTGTGCAGAAGGTAGCTTGGAATCTACTGGCGAATCGCTAGGTGATCTGCCATAGATTGGCAAGGGCTTCTGTCTCCCAGTTATTTAATAACAGCAACAACAAAATAACTCACCCCATCTAACTCAGCTGCTGAAATGAAGAATGCTTACACACGCACAGTTACTTTGCTTCATACAGATTCAAGCTATGCAGGATACAATTAAAGTGTCCAACTGCCATGTGAATCAATTCAAAGATCAAAAGATAGCAAGCTTCTATCTATCTAAACACTGGCATACATTAAATAGCTATTGAGTAGCATCTCCCATTCTCCCCTCCCTGGGAGACAGATACCTGTACATTTTGACATGCAGATTAAAGCATCTCAGACTTAAAATGAAAATTTGGCCACTTCATCCCCTTTTATGGCATCTCTCACCGCTTGCTTCTTCCTTCAACCTTGTGATAAATTTCTCTCTCCCCTCCCTCCGCCTCTCATACAGTCATGCAGAACGTGCTGTAACTTTGTACAGCCAGTTTTTGTACCTGGAGCTCAACGGCAGACAATCGGCCAGGAAAAATTGAAATTGACCTAGGAATAAAAACTATACATGTCTGCTGACTCTTTAAGAGGCAAAACTATGTGGCTTTAAAAATAATCAATATATTTCATGTTTAGATGAATATAACCCCTCATATTACAAGGACTCCAAATGGTGTGCCCTCTATTACTGATGGCAGAGGGGAAGATCTTTGCCCCCTCCTGCATCCCTATGCTTTTGGGGGGGTGTCGGGGGCAGTCTTCCTTCAATTCCAGCCTAAGAGCTTTCACAGGCAGTTCCCTTTCCCAACATTCTGAGTATTGTTCATGCAGTACAAATCTTGGATTTTGAGCTGGAAGGCCTCTATTCAAATTCTGATGGAAACGTAAATTTGTTTCCATCAAATCGTTCCATCTCACCCCATTTCTTCCTCTGCAAGTAGCGATGACCCACTGCACTGGGCTGTTATGAAGACGAATGCACCAGTGTGGCTTTTTTCCTGTGGTTACAAATGTTCCAGAATCAATCAATTAAACTGAAAAATATTTTTATGCTAGTAACAGTGTTACGTGATACAACTGGGACCTGCAAAGAATGTTATGGAGTGGAGAGCTCCTGTTCAGGATGCTAGCCAGCCATGCCCCTTTCCAAAATACTCCATCCCTTTCCTACCTCCCAGTTTTCTGATCTCCACCCCTGGCAGTCAGTCCATATTCAGTGCCCAGTGAGTTAGCTCACTCATCACCAAGCTGTTACGTCACCCGCTTTTAGGGTCCCCCCCCTCCCAGTTTTCCCAAACCTTCACATTTCTCCAAGTCTGCTGACATCTCCTCCTTGAGCATGGATGGGGCACTTTTAAGCATCTTAAGGAGCCACACTTGTAAAATATGCTTGCTATTTGTACATTATCACCACCAATTATTTATATGCTGCCCATCTGACTGGGTTCCCCAAGCCACTCTGGGTGCCTTCCAACAAATTGAAACACAATATGACAACATAAAAAACTTCCCTGAACAGGGCTGCCTTTAGATGTCTTCTATAAGTCAGATAGTTGCATATTTCCTTGACATCTGATGGGAGGGCATTCCACAGGGCGGGCGCCACTACCGAGAAGGCCCTCTGCCTGGTTCCCTGTAACCTCACACCTTTCAGTGAGGGAACTGCCAGAAGGCCCTCAGAGCTAGATCTCAGTGTCCAGGCTGAATAATGGGGGTAGAGATGCTCCTTCATGTATACAGGGCCAAATAGGATTTGTTTTGTGTTTCTGTTGCTAAAGTTTCTCTCATTTAATAAATAATAATATTAATGTGAGGGAGGGAGAGTTGTTGGTTTGTTTTTGCCTTACGTATTTTGTACTGTCATTTTGTATTTTTCTGTTATGAACCACCCTGGGGTCTTTGGATGAAGGGCAGTATCCAAATGAAGAAGAAGAAGAAGAAGAAGAAGAAGAGAAAGCCCTTCTGCCTAGAGGTCTGCTTTGGGATGCCTTATAAATGCCTTCTTTTGAAGGCCACAATGTTCATCTTAATGGCTGATACACTAGAATACTCTTTGCCAATCTGTTGCCTTCTGGAGGTTTTAGGCTACAACTCCTATAAGCTCCAGCTAGGCCTGAGGGAGAAATTGAAATTAGTTCGCATTTAATCTTACCTAATTCAAACTTTCCAACACAATATGTGAAATAACCCACCATCAAAACTGGTCTGTAGAAAGGACTCCTATTGAAAACAGACGCTGTATGTACTTTTGCTACCCAAGAAAATCTTCTAATAACATTTTTTCAAAAAAAATCTGCACTTCTTACTTCTGCAGTGCAGTTCTCCAGCCAAATGATGTGTAGAAAAATGCATATATTGGGATTGTGAAAATAGCATACAAAAAGCAAAAATCCCAGACCAAAATGTACTTACAGTATTAGGAGAAATGCACGTTAAAATACCAATGAGTTTTCTTGAGGACTTTCTTTGAAAAAGTAATCATTTCAAAGTGAAAGGGAGAACTGAAGAGTGGGAAAATAAGAAGCCAACTCCAAAACTGTCCAAAACTGACAGATGCAACTATCCCTAGCCCCAGGCAGTGCAGCTGTATGTGCTCATGGAAACTGTAGTCCAAAACATTTTGAGGGCCCCAGGATGTCTAAAGTTGCACTACAAGTCTTTTAATTTGCCGTTGATGCAGTCCTAGATGATACCTTAGGTGCCTCGCCTCTTTGGTCTCTTGCCAAAAATGAGACTATTGTGGAATGGCAACAATAATCTGCTCCCACCCCAACCGCATTGCTGTCCCTGCCATCTATGGACTCCCCTTACAATGTGAAGCAGCTCAAAAACATCTCAAAGAACACAGGCTGAGTGTAGCACATGTGTCTCTCTTCTAAAACATTTGCATCCAAAAACCCGCTTTCCTGAAAACAGTTTTAGTGCAAGTTAATTTTGTGAGGCAAAAGAATACCTTAACTATTTCAAGAATTACTTCAAAAAGATGTTCGGGCTGGGGTGGGTGAGATTCCAGAACTTTACTATCTTAGATACTCTCTTGCGCCTGAATTTAAATTTCTTTCTTTGCATTAAAAAATGTACATCCCAGCTTTCTTGGGCTCATGAACCACTCCAGGTGACTAACAACAATTTAAAGTGCAGGCTACAAAAAATGCCCATAAAACAAAACAAAATAAATACAATAAAAAATACATAAGATACAGAACATTAAGAAAGCAATAGAGATAAAAATGACGTTCACAGCTGAAACATAGCAGATAAAAGTCTTTGACAGCAGCATGTTGTTGTTTAGTCGTGTCCGGCTCTTCGTGACCCCATGGACCAGAGCACGCCAGGCACTTCTGTTTTCCACTGCCTCCCGCAGTTTGGTCAAACTCATGCTGGTAGCTTCAAGAACACTATCCAACCATCTCGTCCTCTCTCGTCCCCTTCTCCTTGTGCCTTCAATCTTTCCCAACATCAGGGTCTTTTCTAGGGAGTCTTCTCTTCTCATGAGGTGGCCAAAGTATTGGTGCCTCGGCTTCAGGATCTGTCCTTCCAGTGAGCACTCAGGGCTGATTTCCTTAAGAATGGAGAGGTTTGATCTTCTTGCAGTCCATGGGACTCTCAAGAGTCTCCTCCAGCACCATAATAATCAAATACAAAGCAAGATTGGCCTATGCAACATGGTCTGTCTTCAGTTGCATATTAGTGTACAGAGATATGCAGCAACCTTCCCCAAAGTCAGGGCCAGCCCATCAAAGGTAGCCTCACATAGAGCACATTGCTGTAATCCAAGTGGGCGATAACCAGAGGATAAAGTGGCACCTAAAGTAGTTTGTTTCACCCTGTTGCAAGACAGGACTGATTTTGCATTTCCCATGGGAATGAATGTTCAATATTTACAGGGTCAGTGAGGCTCATGCTCGGATCATTGTTGGCCCCTGAGAGAACAGGAAGCTCAACTAGATGGGCTACCTTTCTTATGGCTGTGAAGACCAGGAAACAAAACCAGCCAGGAAAGGTATTTATTGCAGCTATAGCTTTGCCCCAAAGCATTCAGGAAGTTTGCCAACTAGGTTTCATTGGCAAAGGATTTCCTTTTTTTCAAACCCCATGCCCTCTTCCAGAACATTATCACTCTATAAAACCCTTTTTTCTCCTCCCCAGAACCCCACAGTTCCACAACACTTATTTCCAAAACTAATCTACCATCCTCCAAGAGGAAGCTTCTTTACCAGACACACACACACACACACACACACACACACACACATATATATATATATATATATATATATATATATATATACACACCGTATTTTTCGCCCTATAGGACGCACCGGCCCATAGGACGCACCTAGTTTTTTTTGGGGGGGAAGGGGGGAATTTATTACCCCCACAGCCGCGGCTTCAGCGCGCCCTGCGCTCCGGGCAGCAGGCTGCTATCCGCAGCCTAGGGAGCCCTGCGGGAACTCCCGCGTGCTCCCCAGGCTTGCTGATAGCTTCCTGAAGCCTGGAGAGCGAGAGGGGTCGGTGCACACCGACCCCTCTCACTCTCCAAGCTTCAGCAAAAGCCTGCATTCGCCCCATAGGACGCACACAGATTTCCCCTTCATTTTTGGAGGGGAAAAAGTGCGTCCTATAGGGCGAAAAATACGGTATATATGTAGTCCAGACTAGCAAACAAGCTTATAGAAACAGGAACTTGGTACACTATATCCCTGACCAAATTTAACTTACATGTCTGTAAGCAAGGCAAGTGCATGCCATTACAGAGAGTTCCCATGCAAAAGGAAGTCAGTCTCTAAATCACTGAAATTAGACTTTCATCTGAAGTCACATTAAGAGTGCAATTGCTTTACATGTTGCCAAAAATACTTGGTTTTGTTGTAGAGCGAGGTCCTTCCAGGGGAAACAGAACAGACATCTTGAACTTCTACAATAACCCACCAAAAGCTGGAGACCATATGCATGTGGGATGAGGAGCGTTTGGGCTGCATCTGGGTTTTTTATGTGCATTTCTATTTCTTGCCAGTGCCTCTACTTAACAAGGCATATGCCATGGATGACACTATTCCTTAGGAGGGAGGTAGTGTTGTATAGTGGTTAGAGCATTCGACTAGGACTTGGGAGACCAGATTTCGGAACCCCACTTGGTCATAAAGCTCACTGGGTGGCCTTGGGCCAGTCACTGCCTCTCAGCCTAACCTACCTCACAGGGTTGTTGTGGGGGTTAAATGAGGAAGGGAGAGAGCCATGTAGGCTATTCCTGAGCTCATCGGAGGAAAAAGTATGATGTACCTTATGAAGAAACCAGAGGCCTTTCTCCTTGGAATAATAGGTTCGGAATTGCCCAAAAAAAGATGTAAAAGTATTTTTTTTATGCCACAACTGCTGCACGGATTTTAATAGCCCAAAAATGGAACACAATGAGAAACAGAAGGATAGAAAAGTTAGGAAATTTGATTATAACCGGAATATTGTTATATGGAATAATGATATTGGAAACTGCTACACTCAGTTACAAGGAAATTCAGATGGAAGAGATTAGAGGAAGTCAAGTACAGTGGTACATCTCAAGACGAATGCCTCGCAAGACAAAAAACTCGCTAGACGAAAGGGTTTTTTGTTTTTTGAGCTGCTTCGCAAGACGATTTTCCCTATGGGCTTGCTTCGCAAGACAGAAACGTCTTGCAAGTTTGTTTCCTTTTTCTTAACACCGTTAATACAGTTGCGACTTGACTTCGAGGAGCAACTCATAGAACGCGGTGTGGTAGCCTTTTTTGAGGTTTTTAAAGACTTTGCTGACTTTTGAAGCTTTTCCAAAACTTTCCCGACACCGTGCTTCGCAAGACGAAAAAAATCGCAAGACGACAAAACTCGCGGAACGAATTAATTTCGTCTTGCGAGGCACCACTGTAATATGTTTGTGAAGTTGGAGTTTAACTAATTAATTAAGTTTTATTGTATTTGTGTAGGTGGTGGTACTTGTGGGTATTATATGTGAGGTTTGTAATATCTTATTTTTTCTATTTTCTATTTTCTTTTCTTTTATTATTGTTTTTCTTATTTTTGCTATGTTGAAGTTATGTGTTTGTATGAAACTCAATAAATATTATGGGGGGGGGAGTATGATGTAAATGCAATAAATAAATAAATAAATAAATAATGGTTGCTATTTAAAAAGTTCTACCTCCAGTTAATGTTCCGCCTCCACTGACATCATGCGTCTGAATACCAGTTGCTGGGAATCACAGTAAGCAGAGCAAGTCAAGTGTCGTTGTGCTCATGTCCTGCTTGTGGCCTTCAGACACCATCTGGCTGGCCACTGTGGAACAGGATGCTAGACTAGGTGGGCCATTGCTCTAATCCCAGCAGGCTTCTGACTGAGAAATCACCAAAGATCTTTGGAAGGTTAAGAAATACACTTCTCAAACTTGAGAAATAGCTCAGTCAATAGAGCATGAGACTTAATCTCAGAGCCGTAGGTTTGAGCCCCATGTTGGGTGAAAGATTCCTGCATTGCAGGGGGATAGACGAGACAATCCTCATGATCCCTTCCAACTCTATGATTCTATATATTGTTGGGTGTGTATAAGAATCTATTTTGGCTCACACATATATCTTTGATTTGATCAAAGTCAACTAGATGCATATCAGCAAAAATGCAGGAGTTGACCTAGGTTTTTGGAGAGTGAAGGATTCCATAGGCATCCTTCTCCTGTCATGAATTCCTGTAAAGCTTGTATTCATATGTTTTATAAATTCGTATATCACTCTCCAGTAACTGATTATCTGGGCAGTACATAAAATAAAAATAATACAATCAAGCCATCAATAAAACAGAGAAAATAGTAGCCATAAAAAATATTAAAACTCCTCAGAAGTTAAAAAGCGAGGGAGAATAAAATGGTCCCACTGAGGCAGCTTCCCCAAGCTTGGTGTCCTCCAGATATTTTGAACTATAGCTCCCATCACAGCTGACCACTGGTCACACTGGCTGCAGCTTCACTCCAGCTACATCTGGAGGGCATCAGGTTCAGGAAAGCTGCAAGAGACACTGGCATAGGTGCCAAGTGAGTCTCTCTATTTACTACGCATCAGTAGGGCAGGGGGTTGGTGGGGGAGAGAGAAATGGAATCTGGTCTGAAACAGAGGAAATCTGGAAAGGGATTCAAGCATTAGGTTCTGGTCTACCCATGTCTTGTCTATACAGTTTCCAGATCTCCCTGCTTGCAGCCTTCCAGGCAATTCCTTCTGTAGCCTTCGTCTAGGGATCAGCCTTAGTAATGAAAGTGCTCAGTGGCACTGAGTCAGACTCTCCACAGTGGAGCAGTTTGTGATGATCCAGGATGACAACACTTGACTTACCAGAACAAGAAGTTTCCCAGAAAATGGGAAAAAATGAGGAATTTACTGTAAGCTCATGAAACTAGGCTATTTGAAAAAAATAATATTGGCTTTCACTTTCTCATACACACACCTCACTGCTCAATCTCTCTTTTTTTCATTAACCCATGTGTTTGTGATTTGGCAGGTATATTTACCTGTCAAATCAGGTTAGCCATGTATCTGATGAAATGGATTGTAGTCCACTAAAGCTTATGCCATAGTAAATTTCTTAGCTGCCTCAAGACTCCCCATTAGAGAACCTTGACCAACCATTCCCAAATAGAACCCCTCTCACATTCTTCCCCAAAGCACACAGATTCATAAGAGAATGGAAACAGATGAAGAGAACAATGGTGCTAGAATGGAATCAAATTGTGTCAGGATGGTGGAGGAAAGGGCCTGCCTTTGTCTGGAACCCCAAAACAGCCTGTTCTGTCATTATTAATGAATGTGGATTTTCAGCTCAAATATCTCTTTCTTCTCACAAACGCAGTCTTTATTTTCTAAGGGTGCAACAGTTGTCCTTGGGATGCCCTTGCCACATACCCTTGATCATTTTGGCAGGGGCTCATCAATTGCCATGATTTTTAAAGAGACCAGTCTTACTGAAGCACAGGGAGAGGAGACAGAGGAAATACACAAGACATCTAGGAAGGACGAATGACTATGGATCAAGGGATAGACTAAAGGGAGATAGTTCAAATTTGAAGTTGTCAAACAATAGTCAAGGCCACAACCTCACTTTAGGTGTTCCACCATAATTTTAAATACAGAAGCAGAATGAACACTGAACTTTATCAAGGCTAAAGTTGACAAACATTACACGATGGACACAAAACAGACACACCCGTTGCATTATTAAAATCTGAGTTATGTATGTTGATCAGCCCTCACAATTTTCAAGTCTACAGGAGGAAAAGTTTGAGAATGGCTGATGGGCTTCTGTGTTTTTTCCTTTTTTTGCCATTGGGCACCATGAAGCATGGAACATTTCCATGACACTGTTAAACAAAAGAATGTTTCAGCTAGTTCATACTAGCAGTAGCCTCAGTTGGAAAGGAAGCTAATGATGAATACAAGAAACATGTAACTACAGAAGATGATGGTCATGAACAAGATGCAAAGATATACTGTATTTTTCCATGTATAAGACTAGGGGGGTTTTTTAACCAAAAAATTAGGTTTAAAATTGGGGCTCGTTTTATACATGGGTAGTGCTGAAGGGTGTTTTCATTTGGAGTCCCCAAAAATAGGGGGCATCTTATACACAGAAAAATACATAAAAATTAAGCTCAAATTTCAGTCCTATTTTTACTGAGGTTTAAGGTAGGTTAGACCCAAAGCAGAGCCCTCAAGAACTGTAATCCCTGCATGCAGGCCTATGCAGAGCTTGTCTGAAGCCCAGGGTGGGAGGTCTTGTTAAAATGAGTTATAAACTGAAACAAAAAAGAAGCTGGTCCCTGGAGGGGGTAGTCAGCTTAGCCCTCTGAGGCCCAGGGCAAGGGTACCAGGCTGTCCCCCACCCTGCATAGGCCTGCATGCATGAGTTACCTTAGGACCTAAACCAAGGATGGGAAACCTGTGGGCCCTTCAGATATTGATGGATCTAAACTCCCATTGGTCCCAGGTGGCATGAGCAATGGTCAGGGATGATGGGATTTGTAGTTCAGCAACAACTGGAGGACCACAGGTTACTCAGACTGTGTATATGTTTAATACTACCAACACTACTGCAACTAATCCAGGCACCATGTTACTTGGCCAAAATGGTCAGCAGTGGATGGTACAAAGACTGTCTCTTTGATAAGGGGTTGCCAAGCCAATAGCTAGACTCTTGGACCCCTCAGTTTTGATGTGCTCCGTTAACCTGTACCGATTCTCAGCCTCTCTCCTGCCTTCTTTTTCAACCCTCCTAAAACTTCTCTCTGCATTTGTAAACCTCCCTGTCTTGGACAAACTCCCTGAAACTCAACCCTGTCCTGAACCCTATAAATAAATAACACTGCTGAGTTGTACAGACTGACACCACCTCTCTAATCAAAGCCATTTCTCAAAGCAATCAACCCCCATGACATTAAAAACCATTTCTAGACACACCTGCACTAAGCACCACATATACACATACACATACACATACACACACTCTTCTGATGAAGTAAACAAGAAATGGTTACTAGTAGCAATGCTCCCCCTCCTTGATCAGGAAAATAAAGACATTCCTTGTACACCTGGCATGCCCAGCTCTCCTTCAACCAGGGCCAGCCTGAGGTAGGACTTTGTAGCAAAAACACACTGCCCAGCCCAAAATGTAGCAAGTCGGAAAGTCCTCCTAACCCAAACAATGGCTTAATAGGCACACTTTTGTGCCTCAGAAGCAGGAAACAGTGGAGGAAGAACATCCAACTTGATGCTTTGGAAGGGCAAGGAATGGCCAAACAAGCAAGGAGGATCAGTGGCAGAAGAAAGTGGCAAAGAGATGCCCATGGACATTTAGGGATGGGTTTATGGCATGGTTAACTGAGCACATAAGCAGCACCAACAAGTAGCTCACTCACATGCCTCCCCATTGCAGGATCTCTGTGGTTTATTGAAGGAAAGGTATTTTTCACATACACATTATCCGAGTCAATTCTTCCAAGGAGGTTGTGGACTCCCTTGGGAGGTGGTGGGGTCTTCTTCATTGGAGGTTTTTAAGCAGAGGCTAGATGGCCATCTGTCATGGATGCTTAAGTTGAAATTCCAGCATTGCAGGGAGCTAGACTAGATGACTCTAGGAGTCATTTCCAACTCTATGATTCTATGTTTCTGAGGAGCTTTCACTGATTTATCAGGGCTAGTTGCTCAGCAAGGCCACTCATCCAAGCAATCAGGGTTCAGGGTTGTTGGTCCAAGAGGACAAAGCAGGCAATGTGCTCCTTGCACAGTGGCAGGGCCTCACTGAATTCCAGCTGAGAAGTGACAACAGCAGGAGAGGGCAATCCAGATCTCATTTGTAGCTTTTCTAGAAGCATCTGATAGGTGTATGTGTGAGCACAATAGATGTTTGCTTAGATTAAACAGAGCCACCTTTAACTTCTATTACAGCAAGCAATTAGGCAACGGGGCTACAATATTGTGGGCACTGGACTGGACCAATCCAATCCAGTGTGTTTGTTCTCCCTCACAGGAACAGTGGCATAGTGTGGGGGGTGCAGGGGGGGCCGGCCGCACCGGGCGCAACATCTGGGGGGGGCACGCTCGCACTCGCAGCTCTCTGCCCCTACCTGGCTCACTCACTCTCTCTCACTGCAGTGCTGGCTGTGCGAATCCGATCCGAGCCGCTGGGTCGCCGCCCACTGTGGAGGGGGTGGGTGCCAGGCGTGCGGTGCGGAGAGAGAGCGAGGGACTATCTGGGGGAGGGACAGTGCAGCGGTCGCCCAGCGCAGCGCTGAGCGCGGGAGAGAACCACACCAGACCAGACCAGGCAGCAGCAAGAAGAAGCTGGCAGCAGCGGCAGGTTAGGGGTTAGGGGGCGCAAATTACTTGTCTTGCCCCGGGTTAGGGGGCGCAAATTACTTGCCTTGCCCCGGGTGCTGACAACCCACGCTACGCCGCTGCACAGGAAGGCTTCAAGCAGCAGTTGGACAGTCATCTCTTTCCTGTTTCGAGCAGGGGAGTTGGACTAGATGGCACCCTCCAACTCTTAAGTGGCTGCAGTATTGCAAGGGATTCTGGGAAGGAGGTCTTAGCAAGCCACAACACAGCCAGGGAAATGGATGGGTGGAAGAGCAATGAGATGCAACAGCCCCAGAATCCACTGAATTGATGGGTGGATTGGCAATGACCAACTCCAAGATCCAGTGAATGGGCACAATTTAACAATTTTTGTAATGTTAGTGAAAAAATTAAGAGTGTTGGAGGACAAGCCATCTCTCTACTCAATTGTTTTGCAAAAGATGTGCACCCAATAAAACCTGAGGACTGACCTTTGAGCCCAAGCTTTCACAAGGGGTGGCATGGTTGGGTGTCACAATCTGTAGTATTTGCCCAAGAGCAGTTCTCCAGTGGAATTACTCCTCACCACATCACACGTCACCACAGTCTGTTATGTAAATAAAGTGAAAGAAGGGAAAGTATGCCATCCCTTTCCCTGCTGGGTTCTCCCATTACACATTCCAACCTCAGAGCATTTTTTAAGGACCACAGAAATGCATACTTTAAAACCTGTCTAGTAAACTTCCTTGACACTGAGGCATACACTTTGGATTTAGTCACTTTCTCTCCTCACACTGCCCCTTGGAAGAATTTCTACTCTGGAGAGTACCACTAGCCTAGACAACGGGTGATTCAAGATCTTCTGGGGTTGCTATGTTGACAGGATGAAACGAACCTGAACTGGCCACAGGAATAACCCTGTTTGGACTTAAGGAAATGCCTTGGGAGGTATCCAGCATCAGATGGTTCTGCTGTTGAGTAATAAGACTCTAATTCTCAACAGATTTGTAGTAAAGGTGCAAATGTGTCCATGACACTAGCTAGTAACCATTAGTGTCTGGTTTTCCACTCATAAATCTCTTAATTGCTGTGAGGAAGTCATAGCTGTTCACTGGCTTCCAAAAAGGGAAGAACAGATTCTGAATAGTGGTTCTTACAAGACTAGACATAATGTAGTCAAAGAGCAGTCACAGTACACGCACAAAACCTGGTGTCCTCCAGATGTTGTTGGACTTTAACTCCCATCAGCCTCAGCCAGCATGGCCAATGTTCAGGAGTGATGGCAGTTGTAGTCCAAAGCATCAGAAGACATGGGATTGGGAACACCAAGTTATAGCTTAGAGTGAGGATGGGCACAATATAGATTGGGCTCTACTGGTGGATTTCTGGGCAATCAGCAGTATATCTGCAAGGGTTTGTGGCTCCTAATCCCAGTGGTTCTGAGAGGGTGTGGTGTGCCACACCAGTGTGGCAGGAGAGGATGGCAAGCATGGAGGGACAACATTTCAGTGTAGTGTAGCGTAGCGTAGCCTATACATACACACACACAGAGAGAGAGAGAGAGAGAGAGAGAGAGGGAGAACCAGAAGCAGAATCCACACCTCTCTTCAAGAGCATTGGCTATTCTTCTACAGCTCTCCATAACATTGTTGTGAGCTGGGATTTTCAACTCAGACAAATATGTAAGATCAGAAAAGAGAAAGGCTTATTTGTGTTGGTGAGGAGATGGGAGTTTGTCTCAAATTAGACCTAATAGGTATGAATTACCCAGCAAAA